TAAATAAAAGAAGGATTACACTCAAAGAAAAATAAAAATTTAGAGCAAAACAATTATATGATACTAGAAAAAAGAAAAACAAATTCATACATTAATCTCAAATCTAGTGGCCGCCAGTACATTTGCTACTTCATAGTCATTGCTTCCTCTTGTTAAGCACTCTTGTCCATCAAATTAATGCCAATCTATTTAGATTCATAGAATAAATATCCACTAAAAACTCGTAGGAATAAGAAAAAAACCATAAAATCATAAAACTCTAAGGTATCGTTTAGTTACCAAGAATAAAATGTCCGAATGAGAATATAGGAATCGGAATGAAAATTAAAGAATCTAAATAATATTTTTATTTTCATACTATGTTTAGAATACTAATGAGGAATCGAATGCAATTTAAATTTTTTAATATCTAATTTTTTATACAAATAAAAATACTAATTAATTTTTTTTTATTAAACTATAATGGTTATAAAAATAATGAAGGTGGTGGTGGTGGTGGTAGTTATAGCAATTATGGTTCTAGTTGTTGATGGTGGTGATGATGGTGGTGGTGGTTGTCGCCGCGCGACGTCGGACGGACCCCTCAAAAGAAAAATTTATTAAGTAGTTTGGGTGTTAACTAATCACAAAATTATTTACAGTAGTTTTGGAGTCGTCACCTAGTATTTAAGGAACTAGGAACCTAAAAGTAGCATTGGTTCGTAGATTCCTAGGGTAAGGAGTTGGTTACGCTTTTTGGAAGATATTAAATCACCTAAAAGCGCCCTTTTCGAAAAAAGGTACCATGTGCGATTTAATTCTGAATTATCTCCTAAAATCCATGTCAAGCTATTTTCTAAATTTTAATCTCCTATCTTTAGCCTAAAAAAAAAATTTTAGTTTTGGGTGTGGCATCATATTGAAACGATCGTCGGTCCCCTTCATTGGGTGACACGTCGATTCAAACATCGGATCCACTAAAAGCCTCGACACAACCAACGTATCGGAGGACGTCTTAATTAAAAGTGATTTTGATGACGTCGCCCCTATCAAATAGGAGGCTTCGCCAAATTTTTTTTTGGGCATTTCTTTTTGCGACGTCGATCCCTATTAGATAGGAGACTTCGTCAATATATATATATATATATATATATATATATATATATATATATATTTTCTAGCAATACATATTAAAAAAATAAAAATTCTAAATAAAAAAAAACTACAAGTAAGATAAATAGACTAAAAATAAAACGAAAATAAAAATACAAAATGATAAAAAAAAATCATCCTATGTAAGCGAGTAAAAATAAAAAAATAAAAATAACCGACGATAAAAGTAAAAAATTCTATGTCTAAAATATTAACTTACCACTTTTTTTTTTTATACACCCATCCCTATTTTTTTCTTCTTATTTTTTTTCTTCCCTAACTCTATTTTTATTTTTTCATTCCCCCCCCCCTTTTTTTTTTTTTGAAGAAAGGGTGTGAGCTGGATTTCCTTTTTTTTTTTTTTTTGCATTGGGTCAGACTGGGCCGAAGCCAATCCAACCCTTGCTTCTTAATTCCCCGGTCGGGCTCAAGCCCACAAATAGATCCAAGAGTCAAAAAATTCAAACAATCATATCAAATATAAGTCCCTAACCATTCTCTCTCCTGTTCTTCATGTTCAATTTCCTCTTAGTGTTTTCAATTTTCCCGGAAATCAAAGACTCAATTATGCAATCTATCCAACCAAATCGCGAACGAAATACAAGATGAACAACTAACAATAACGAACGTATGACAAAATTAGCTGGAAATGATCAACAACAAGAAGCTTACTTGGAAATCGTGATTGAAGAACACCAAGCGAACCCGTAAAAACAGGGAACCGACGGACTCAAAATGAAGATTTCGTGCTTTCTTTCGACCGTTGGCCCTCGATTTCTCTTTTAACATTCAAAAGAATAATGGTATCTCTCAAAACAAACTCCGAATAATCCCTTTCAATCGACCCAAAATGAAGAACATAAACCTAGAATAAAGAACACTAAGAACACCAACCTAGAAAAAACCCGTAAATGCAAGTGGCTAAAAATAAAAAATCAACCCGTTTGCTTTCGAATTTTACTCTCTTTTAACCAGAATTTCACCCTCAACTTTTCTCCCCTTCTTTCCGTGAAAATCAAACATTTTATAGCTAACAAATTTCCTAAAATTGAAACGAAATCCCCGAATTTTCCGTCAAAAATTTTCCTCTTTAATTCATGATTAATTGTGAAATCAAAACAGAAAATTCTCATTGATTCGTGTCAATGTTGGTTTCGGCAACAAAATCCATGATTAATACACAATCAAAAAACACGAAATTCATGGAGGATTTGGGTAGATTCTCCCAAAGATTTTCGGAGAGAATCGCCTTGGAGCGAATGACGGGTCGTTTGCTCCATTTCGGTCCTGTTGTTCGCTCCAAACTTTCGGCTTGGTCCTCGAGTTTCAATTTCAGCAATTACGCCCCCGTGTGAAATAATTTCGGTGTAATCTCAACAATTAGGTCCCCGGAGGTGCAATTTAAGGCCTAAACTTTTCAATTAACTCGATTACATCCCTAATTACTTCAATTGCACCCCTAAATGAATTTTTTCATTTTTTCATCATTTTCTTTCTCATTTTTTTTTCTTTTCCCTTAATAAACTTCAAATTAAAAACAAAAATAAAATAAATAAATAAATAAATAAATAAAAACAAAAAATAAAAAATAAGAAAATTTTGGGTTATTACGGTGGTTGTGGTTGTGAAGGTGGTGGTGGTGGTAAAAGTAGTTAATTGATAATAAATAAATTAAATATATTATTATTTTGAAAAAAAATTCATTCTTATTCCTTATTTTTATTTACACATATTATATGGGAATAAAGTTATGTGTAAATTTTTATTTTCATTCCCACATCATTCTTTTTAACCAAACATCTACAATGTGGAGATAAAATTTTCATTCCTATTCCCATCATTTTATTTTTAATTACTAAAAAACACCTAAATAAAAGACTAGAAAAGATAAGAAAATCAGATAAATTAAATATTAAAAAAAGTCAACTCCAAAAACATAAAATGTCAATATACAATTATTGGAAAAGTATTGAAAAAAGAGCTAACGCCAAGCAACAATAGAGAAGAAGAACCATGAGAGATTCTCAAAAACTTAGAAAAAGTAGAAAGAAAATTCTTTTATCTATTATTAGATTTGTTCGGATTTGGTCAAGAAATTTAAATTAAATGGGAGCATGTTGCATCACTCCATTGTTCTCATTCAAGTTTAATTATTCTTTTAAATAGTTTTTATTTAACAAAAATATTATTTTGCATAAAATGACACTTTGAAAATAATAAAAGCTATCATTTCATTCGTCGTTGGATTGTGATAAAGTAGTCATAAAAATAGTATGTTTTAATAAAAATGTATGGTATTGATTATAAACATTAGTTAAGTCATGTTATTTTGTATGACAATATTTTAAGTATTGAAAATAAATTATACAACTAAAAAAGAAAGTGAATATTCTCTCTATCCTAAAGAAATCAATCATATTTTTCAAAGTATTTTTCTTGTCAAAATTTTTAAGTGACGTACTTTTATAAAATATCCCCGGTTTTGTAAAAGTTTTGTCAAATATATTTTTTAAAAAAAGATATTTTCAAAAAGTATAAATAAAATATGTTGATATGACATAAAATTAATAAAATAAAAAGTTAAAATGGGCAATTATTTTGAAAAAGGCATAATATTAATTTAAAGGATTAGATGACTCTAATCGTTGGCCAAAACATTTTGTTTATTATTATTATTATTATTTGGTCGAAGATAAGAAATTTTATTGATAAACCAGTCATACAAAGTGAGTTTTATAACTTGGACATCCAAGAAAAACAAATTAAAAAGAAGATTACATAAAGAAAATTAAAAAGATAGAGCAAAATAATTACATGATACAAGAAAAAAGAAAGTCATCGATCAATCTCAAATCTAGTGATGATTAATAGCTCACTATATATTGTCCATCATATGTGTTCCAATCTGTCAAGATTAATTGGATGAATCGTCATTAGGAGTTAATACAAAAAGAGAGAAAAAAAAACATAAACTCTAAAGAAAAGACTTGAAAAGATAAGAAAATCAGATAAATGAGACAATACAAAACGAAAAAGTCAAATCCAAAAGCAAATATAAAAAAAAGTATTGAAAAAAAGGGAAAAAAAAAAAAAGCTATCGCTAGCAATAGTAAATAAGAAAAACCACAAGAGATTCTCAAAAACTTAAAGAAACTAGAAAAAAAAGTATTTTATTTGTTATTAGATTTGGTGTGGTAAGATAAAATTTAAATTAAAGAGAAGAATTACACATCACCCCATTACTGAAAAAGACTCCTTTAAGTTGTTTAATGATTTTTTTTTTTTTTTTACTAATTGAAAATAAAGTATCTTATGATCAGCTGAAAAACAATTTTTATTTTTTTATTTGGGTCTCTAATTTTTCTTTTTTGCAATTAAGTATTTTTTTTATCTCATTAATCAATGTCAAGCCATATTGAATGCACATTATAAGTATTAAAAATCATAAAACCATGACATATGTCTTATATTTAACATTTTCAAAATATGTATTATTATTTTAGTAGCTATACGTGTCTTTTGTTATCAAAAATTGATCAATGAAATGATGAAATAATTTAAATATAGACTTTAAATAAAATTAAAGACCTAAATTAGAAAAGAAAGGAAAAGAAAAAGAAAAAGATTAGTTCAGTTCAGCCTATTTTATAACCAATTAGTTTTTTTTTTCCTTTTTAAAATAGGTTTTTTTAATACATAAAATGCCATTTGATAATAATTAAACCAAAATTACTTATTAGTCCCTACAATCCAGTTTCGGACAAATGTGTATATATAGGCGGTATTTGCGAATGATTTTCATCACTGGAGTATTGATCAGACATATCCTTTATTAACAACATATATCTTTGTGAGTTAGAAAATAAGTAATGGGTTTGGAATCCAAAAAATTTGAATGGACTCTCCCAGTTCCGAATGTGCAGGAGCTTTCAACCCAGCAGCTTGAAACAGTGCCAGCTCGCTTTGTAAGAGACGATGTGTGCGGTGTCATCAACACCGTTCCCTCCGATGACTGCCTTCCTGTGCCGTTGATTGACATGAGCAAGCTGGCCAACCCAGAGTTTCAAGAATTAGAGCTTCAGAAGCTGCGTTCTGCATGCAAAGACTGGGGTATATTTCAGGTAACAGCTTTTTTTTTTTTTGGTTTGATTTTAACTTTTAATTATCGTGTTGCAATTTTAAGGTGGGTTTTCAATTTTCTTTTCAAATAGATGTGTTATTTATGTTGCAATTCTTTGATCTAGGGGTTCTTCTTCATGTTTGTGTTTGAGTAATTGTGTTGTTGCTTCTAAAATACAGTCTCTTATGAAAGAAATTTTTTTACTGAATTTTGCAGTTGATAAACCATGGAATGTCGGATGAAATACTAAGAAACACAAGCAAGGAAGTTCTGGAATTCTTTCAACTTCCGTTGACAGAAAAGAACAGGTGGAAACAAAAACCGGGTCGTTTTGAAGGCTATGGCCAAATACTGGTAGCCTCAGAAGAAGCTAAGCTTGATTGGAATGACATGCTTTTGCTCACAACTCATCCCATCCAAAACAGAGAGCTTGAATTCTGGCCTGAAAACCCTCCAAAATTAAGGTACCAGAAAATCGAGACTCTGGAGTACTATAGTAATTAGGAAGCACTGGTGCTGCAAGGTTATAACTGAAACACATTTTAATGTCGAAAATGCACTTCTTTGTCTATTAGGGAATATCTGGACAAGTATTCTGAAGATATCAAGCAAGTTGCAATCAACTTAACAAGGTTCTTTGCCATGGGGCTCGCGATTGAGGGTCAGGAGCTCTGTGAGGCTTTTCAAGAAGGAGGATTTCGCGTAAAGATGAACTACTATCCACCTTGTCCTCAGCCAGAAAAAGTGTTGGGGTTAAAACAGCATACTGACAGCTCTATGTTCAACCTCTTGCTTGACTGTAGCATCACGCCAGGATTGCAGGTTCTGAAGGATGGTCACTGGTACTTTGTTAAACCTATAGATGGTGCCATTGTTGCAAACTTGGGACTGTTTGCTGAGGTATGTATCTGTGATCAGTAGATCAACTCAATAAATTTCTAATCTCAAATTAATCAGGTCCGTCGATTCGTGTTTTGTTAATTGATTATATCGTGCTTAATTTGTGAGATCAATAAATAAATAATTCATGACATCACGCAGATGGTAAGCAATGGGATATACAAAGCACCACTTCACAGAGCAGTAGTAAATAATTCCCAGACAAGGATTTCCATCGTCACCGCTTGCCTTCCCAACTCCTCTTTCAATGTCGGTCCAGCGAAAGAGCTTACCAAGGCAGGAACTCCACCTCTATACAAGACAGTCACGGTGGACGAGTTCTTTTCCATGTTCTTACAATCGAAGAAGCTTGGAGTTCCAGTCATCGATACCCTTAAAATCTCATGCTGAAGAAAGAATAATGTTTTGAATAAATTAGTTCTATGTGATGTATTGGTTTTTCTACCAGTCGTTCAAAATTTCAATTATCATCTCTGTTTCAAAAACAATTATGTATTGAATAATGTACGTCCTAAAAATATTTTTAACTTATTGTATAAATGTGTTTGGTATAATCCTCTGCTCCTTTCTATGGTTGAAAACATTGTGAAATGGTTCTCTTTTCCTGATTTGTTTTTTTTTTTTTTTTGAAATTTAGTGATTCAAATCTTGTATTGCAGCTCTATTGTAACGCTGTAAACTATTTGTCACACGTGATTGCTGTTAACGACCATCCATTATTTAGTGAGACGTGGCTCAATGGGTTCTAGATTAAAGTTTTGTTGTTTGAAAAAAAAAATAAAAATGTTTTTATTAATATAACTTTTTTCAAAAGTAAAGAAACCAAAAAAAATAATGGATATATAAAAACTAAAAAATTGTATCGTCCTCTTCTCTCAACTCTCTGTAAATCACCGTGGCTAGCTACCAGTCCCAATTGCGTAACAGTGCCACAAAATGTAGAACCCGCCACCAAATGGATTGAGCCAATTGCGTAGCAGTGCTGAAAAATTGGAGAGCTGAAAAAGCCCAACTTTCACCCCTCCACCATAATCAGCTCCCCATTCACCAGAAACATACCTCCATCCTCCACCTTCAAGCCACCTATTACAGTTAAACAAGCGATCCCCGCAACCCAAAATACCAATCGCAACTCGCAACGTGAATCCCAAAAGCACCATGGTAATGGTCACCACCAATTTTTCCATAATCCCATCTTGAAATTGTTCTGTTCAGAAGAGTTATACTGAGGTAGTGGTTAGTGATTTTGAGCATTGGTGGAGAATTTTTGCTAATAGAGAAAATTTATTTGAAGCTCGAATTGGCAGAGAAATTTTAGGGGAGAAAAGCGAGTTGCGAGAGTAAAAGACTTTTTTTTTTTTTTTTGGTATCATTTATTAGAAAAAAATTTATTAGCTTATTAATAATTTTTTTTTGGATAGCAAAATTTTAATTTAGTATCCACTTAGTCATGTATTGTTTAATGATTGATTGTCAATAACAATAAAATGTCACGATATCAATTGATAGCATTATAACAAAAAATTTAAATCAAAAAATTTTTAAAAATAAAAAATTTCAATCAAGTAAAAAAAATTTCAATTATTATTTTTTTTACAATATGAGATTTAAATATGAGGAAAAAAAGGCTGGAAAACATTCAATGTATGTGAAATCATTTCAAAGATAGAGGGAATCTAGATTCCAAAGGAGTATTTCAAATATTCCTATATAGTTATTGAATTCCATAATATTTTTGGTCAAAAATTTTAGAAAAGCAATAAAGAAAAATAATTTATATATTATTATTATTCTTCATAAATACAATTTATTTAAAAATTATTCATTTTTATTGTAAATCACTTGCATATACAATCTGAATAAAAGAGATTTATTTATTTATTTTAAATTCAATAAATATTTTGCATAGGCATTAAAATCTTTTTAACATTTTTATAAAAGTGCTTGATTTAAAACAATCATTTTCTTCCATCTTCTATATTGGCTTGTGGAATAACTTAAGGTACTCTTTGGTAATCGGGAATAGAGTGGTGGGAATAAAAATAAAAGTTTTATTCCCATGTTGTAGTTGTTTAGTTAAAAGAAATGAAGTGGGAATGAGAATGAAGAGTGAGAATGAGAATGAAAATTTACATACAATTTCATTCCCACATAAGATGTGAGAATAAAAACAAGGAATGAGAATGAATTTTTATCTTCAAAATAATAATATATTTTATTTATTTATTGTTTATTAACTATTTTTACCACTACCACTACTATTGCAACCACCACAACCACCATCATTATCATTGCAACCACCACCACCACTATCGCCACCGTCACCACCACTAGAATCACTACCGTCATAACTACTACCATCACCATCATTATTATTTTTACAACCATTATAGTTTGATAAAATTATTTTTTTAATCATTATTTTTATTTGTATAAAAAATTAGACATTAAAAAATTTAAATTGCATTTCGATTCCTCATTAGTATTTCAATCTCGGTATGGAAATACAAATGCCATTCCGATTTCTTAATTTTCATTCTAATTCCCGCATTCTCATTCCTATCACTCTATTCTTGATTACCAAATAGCACCTAAGAGATTTTATCTCACAAATTTTATTTCTAAAAACAATGACTAATATATAACACGATCACCTAGTTAAATAAAATTGTTCAACATTAGAAATAAAATTATTACTTTTAAAAGCATAGAGAGCAAAATGTAATGTTATTCAAAACCTAGAGAGAACCATTGAATATTGTTCAAAGATTGGCCACTAAATATAGTTCAAATTAGTTAGATACGCACACTACACTATAGTCAAACAACCGTAGTATTAATGATTCATATGGTGTGATGTGAGTACAAGTTTTATTTTTGATGATTAATGTAAATCAAATCTATATATTGAACGAAATTATTTGATATATATATATATATATATATATATATATATATATATATATATATATATATATATATATATTAACATAAAATTTTATATTTAAATAATTAGGAGATTCTTTCAAAACTTTAATTAAACTATTTTATTTAAAAATAAAAATTTTAGAACATAAAAAAAAATAACAAATAATTGATGTTATGTGTGCGGATATACAATTAATTTCTAACAAATATATATATATATATATATATATAACATGAAATAAACTAATTAATTTTTTTATTCATGTAAAAGTTTTTTACTAGGATCCAACCATCGAGGTGCGAGCCAAAGATGCTTGGGAGGCTTTGGTTAGGAAGCGCTACTCTAACTTCATCCACAAGCATGGTACAAATGACGAAAAGCTCTTTTCTTCTTCTTTTTTTTTATTTTTTTTAATTTTAAGATAGGAGGTATGGGATCCATGGATGCAAGATTTTTCACACTCGATTGTTAGGAGCATTCACAATAGGCATCGCTTAATCGGATGTCAAAGACTCGGTAGTGTTGATTTAAGACTATCCAGTGCATACAAAAAGGTCCATATTTGCTTCTAAGCATGCCCGCCACTTGATAAATCCTATAATATATTATTAAATATTTAAAAAATTAATTTTTGCATCTTATATATAATTTGTGTCAATTTTTTTTTCAAACTGTGAAATTGAGACGTCATCCTATAAATTTAGAGTTGTTTGAGGTTATTCACAAGTAGAGATATGGGAATTTCATTGATTTGTAGGCCTAGTCTACAATGGTATTTTTTTATATTATACGTATGAAAATATAATCTAAAAAATTATTTTATCTTTTATTAACGTTATAATTATTTTTGTTACACGAAGCGTATGAAGGAGATGATATTGAAAACTCGTAAGGAAGCAATGAGAGGTCGGAATTAAAGAGTCACGAGTCGACATGAATGTCATATACTTCGATGATGTAGGAGGGAGAAGAAGAAGAGGCTTTACGAGATCGGGTCGGAGGCATCTCACTATTTATCCCAATCGACTGGCATTAGTTATTCCTCTATAGCATCACAATATCTTGGCCCCAATGTTGCTCGAAATAGCTCCAACTCAATACGGAGAGATAATGAGGGCAATACGAAGAGATTAGAGGATTAGAATAACATTATCACATAGTAAGTGAAGATACAAGGGATGGAGACTTGGATGCATTCGATTATATTAACGTTAGAGAGAATGACGCAACCGACCCACTTGCTTACTAACCCTTCCACCAACGACGAATCCGCTATCCCTCCCATCGAGCCGTAGGGTTTCACCGTTCCTCCCAATGAGTAGTAGGATGACACCATCCCTCTCGCCGAGCTCAAAGATTCCACCATCCCTCCCATCGAGCCCTAGGAAGATGAGAGAGGATTACATGATATGGAGTGACTTATACTTTTTCTTCTATGTTTTTAATTTTTTTTTCTAACATACTAATGAATACTTTTTTAAATATAAATTTTAATTGAATTTATAATATTTTAATTTTTTCTCTAGATATTCTCGTTAGGAAAAGTAATAAAGTTTAAAAAACACCTTCCTATTTGTCCTCATATCACACTACATTAGCTACTATCCCTAACCCTTCTCTTCTAACGTTTTCAACTAACTTTCCCATTCATCATTATGTTTCATCTGCTAGATCGTCATCATTCCACACGGCTTTTCTTTCGACACTTTCTAATCTTGATGAACCACATATCTTTCACCAAGTCGTTAAAGTTGCTCGTTGGAGAGATGTTATGCAAGCAATGCTCTTGAGTTGAATAACACATAGACAATTGTTTCTCTTCCTCCTAGGCATCACAAGTATAGGCCGTAAATGGGTGTACAAAGTTAAGCTTCATGCGGATGGTTCTATTGAAAGGTATAAAGCCGGGTTAGTGGCTAGGGATACAATCAATAAACTGGTTATGATTTTCAAGAAACGTTTAGCCTAATGGTTAAACAAACCATAGTTTGAGTGTTTTTTGCTTTGGCGACTTCATAGGGTTGGTCATTATCATAGATGGATGTCAATAATGCCTTCTTCAATGGTGATTTGGAAGAGGAAGTTTATATGGATGTTCCTTTGAGGTATAAGGTCAATGAGGAGTATGCACAACCTATTTGCCAACTTCAAAAATCCTTATATGGCCCGAAACAAGCATCAAGTTAGTGGAACTCCAAACTTACTCAAGCTTTATTATCATTTGGTTTTATACAATCGAATGTAGATTACTCTCTATTTACCAAGAGGGTTTCTACTGATATTTTCCTTACCTTACTTCTTTATGTTGATGACATAGTTGTTATAGGTAATTTTATTGATGCTATTACTCGAATTCAAATAGTTCTTGCATTCTCAATTTAAGTTGAAAGATCTAGGCCAATTGAAGTATTTTTTAGGTGTTGAAGTTACAAGATTTGACAAGGGAATTGTTTTGTGCCAA